GAGAGAGAGAGAAGCGGGGGGACTGTGCCAAGCTGTCCGTTATGTGACTCTGACACGTGCTACTTCGTTTCTTCTTTGCGTTTTGCCTTCCCGGAAATGCTCCAAGATGCTCTCATGTCAGTGCTACTCCCAACAAGTCCCCCACGCGAAGAGCAACTGCGAAGCAGATGGAATGCTGCTGATTGTTTCATCATTCATACAGTGCAAAACCCCTGCTTCTTAACATCAGTGGCACTCCTATTGTTGTTGGAGGCGACTTCCAACTTCCCCGGGCCAATCATCAATGACATCATCCGAGCCCACCAAATTGAGACTCGCCCACACACGCATGCACTTGCGCACATAGCGAAAAAACTCAACAAGCAAGCACGGGGCATGCATACATGCAAGATGCGTTGATCACAAACATATCCAGAGAACACGGCAAACAAAGTCTGAATCTGAATCTTTAGCTGCAAAAACATCAACGGGACAATAGACAGGATTTTCTCAGAAAAGTGGAGGAGTTCTTGCACATCACAAAACAAAAACGATGCTGCAAAGGTAATGGCTCCCCAAACAAAACACTCAAAGATAAAGGGAAAAAAAGGCTCGGCGGAATATGATAGGGGAGTTCATTATGCTTTTTCTTTCTTTTGTGTTTTTTTTCCTTTTCTGTTTTTGCGGGCGAAGCCGCAACGGGGCATCTAGTCACTGTTGTTATCCCTATCTTCTATTGGCCACTTTTCCACTGTGTCATCATCGAAGACAACAAGGGTGTGGTCCTGGCGTTTTTGTCGCCAGAGAGTTCTTTTACCGTCGTACGTCCGTCCTTCTCCTCCTCCTCCAGATTTGACTACGGGTGCATAGGAGTTTTTGAATTGTGAAGTCATTGGCTCCCTTTGCAGAGCAAGGTCGCAAAATTGCCTATAATTATATTTTCCTGACTTCGCTTTGGCCACCAGGTGTCCCGGGATGGGCTCAGGCAACGCGCGGGAGTAGATGTACAACAGTTGGCTGTCTTGTAGGTTCAATCCTGGAACCTGCAGCAGTCGATCAACTTCGCGGGACAAAGCCTCAACCGATGCCCAATGCTTTTGATCAATCCATGTTAATTGGTCAAACGCCTTATCGGTCGTCGTCTTATCGAGAAAACGGTCCTTGATCTTAGCCAAGAACTGTTTCAAAGTGAACGTCTTTGCCCACTCGCCAGTGTCTTCAAACCCCGCGGCGTTGGCCTCAGCCAACACCCACTGTTTGGCCTCACCTCCCATACAGGAGGTGGTAAACGCAACTTGGGACTCCGGTTCAACTGGAGCGGTACTCACATACGTTTGGATTTCAGCAATCCAAAGTAACAAACTCTCATCTTCTTTGTTACTGAACGTAAAAGGCAAGTTCATTTTCACTTTCTCTTTCTTCTTTGGCTTCTCGGGTTCAGCACTTGTCTTACCTGGAGTTGTCAAAGAAGGAGACTTGGGAGAAAGAGACGAATGAGAAGAGTTAGATGAAGAGGATGGTGGACTCGGTGTTCCATTCCCATTGGACTTCGTGTGAATTGTGGGACCAGCAGACTTCATAGCATCTCCCGTCAACTTCCTCACTTCTCTCTTATCTTCCTTTTCTTCTTGTCCATCTTCTTCCTTACCCTCTATCTGGCTCTCTCCTTTCACAATATTTGCGATGGTTCGTAATCCTACAGCAATCTCATCTAACTGAGTTTGCTGCCTGTCAATTTTCTCTTCCAGAAAGGTAAGGTGCAGTAACCCTGTTCAAAAGTAGTTCGGGGCCCAGAACTCAGCCCCAGGCAACGCAGACCAAAGTTGGTCTGCGCTGGGCTGTGTGACCAGGACACGCCCAGGCCTGAGTCTGTCGCGTTTGGCTGTGTGACCAAACGCTGCACTCAGGAAAGTCAAGAGTCAAAGTCAACTGTAGAGTCAAAGGTACCGTGCCCAGGCCCTCGGTTGGATACACTCACTTGTTGTGCGCAGGTACCCAGACAAGCATCCAGGCTGAAGGGAATTCAGTTTCAGGCCAATCCGGGCCTTTGTTTGCATCAAGATCTGGACGGCTAAAGGTTGCAGCATCCGTGGTCCAGACCCCGAGTCAACGCTACTTAAGCGTTGACCTCCCTGGCTTTGACATTCATTCATTCTGTCTTGCGTTGATGCTGACTTCACGCGTTGACTTCAATGCTGGCTCGACGCTGCGACGCTGGCTCGGCGCTGAGATGCTGGCATTTGTGATTCGGCGAGGCGCTGCTGGTCCGGCATGGTGGCTGGCTTGCACCTGTCTTCTTGGCATGCTGACGTGGCAGCTGCCATGCGCTGT